AAAGGAGCTAAGCGAATCATCTCGTCACGGAAATACGATAAAGATAAATAGAAAGAAGGCAACCTTGAAATTATATCACTTCAAAAGCACAAATAACTTTTATATATCATTAGCATCAAATCATGACGTAACATCCCAACTTCTAAACTTTAATCTTTACAAATATACCAACTTACAAATGCATAAAAAGATGTATTTCGATATTTTCAAATTAAAATGTTGCTAATTTAAACATATTATTTGAGTATTTATTCACAGTAGAAATCGGAGGTGAATTCATAGGATGAAATCCTCTTTGTTTTTTTTTTCCGATTTGGATGTTACGTCATGATTTGCATTGACAACTTAATTAGGAACATAAAAATTACTATGATTTAGCTCGTTTAATTGTCGCTATAAAATCATTAGAACAAGTACAAATATTTGTTCAAAAAAGAGGCATTAATAAACTATAGAATTAAAAATCTATCTCACAAATCTGAAATTGCTAAAGAAACGTTTGATATGAAACCACAAGCTCTTTCCCAAAGAGCGAATAAAAGAAAATACATTCTTCTCATGAGCTGGCGGGCTAGTGATGCACTCCTTAATCTTTTTTTCAAAGTAGACACCTCGACCAATCTCGTTACACACTGCCTCTAGCCTTTGCTGATCAATTTCCTTGGCATTTGTGGAAGATGAGGCATCACTGATATAGAAATAACCAACTGCCAAGTCATCCTCAGTGGTGAATTTCATCTTCTCGAGTGACAAACTATTCTCCCTTAATGTCGTGGTCACATTAGATAGCAGACCATGACGGTCCAATTTACGCACTTTCATCTTTAGCCCCTGCACTCAATTACAAATATATATAAATATAGATTTAGCTTGCAAAAATATCATACTTTTATTGATCTAAAAAAATATCAAATTCATACATACTCGAGATATTCTCCGTTCAATAGCACCTATCAAACTTTGAATTAAACTTTGTTTTTCCATTTCATTCAGCATCTTGTACCCATTTGTCCGGCGCACAAAATATTCCTATATTTAAAAGAAATTAAAACATAAACTCACATTTACAATTGACAATTTAAGCTTAAAAAATATTTAACCACCTGATATGCTACTGAATCTTGGGAGATAATGGATCCACGAAATATGTTATAATCAAGATCTGTTAGAGCACACACCACATCAAACATGAGCTTAGGTCTATCGCTACTCCTCATTTTGATAACTATGTAGTTTACATCTTTCCAACTTTCAATCAACACATGCGGCAAGCACACCTCTTTGCTATTTTCACTAACATCGATACATGTGTACATATCCATCAACTGATGTAGTCGTCGTTCAGTATGAATCCGACATGATGTAGAGTCATTTAGTCTCACCGTCCATAGCTCATTCGGGGAGTGTTGTATTCTCAAAACACTGGCCAAGCGGTTCACTAAGTAATTACATCTAATTGGATTCATGATAGGTTGACGCGTGCTTTCTTCCTTTAAATATAGGATGCAAGCAACATGTCCATTGTAGGACCATAATTCTCCTGATTCCATAAAATATGATAGCTCAAAGAGCACGTTCGCAATATGAGAGAAAATACCTGGTCGATCAAAAAAAGTTATTTCAAGGGCGGTGCAGTCGGAGGCAAAATGGTCAACGACGACTATGTTGTCATCACTAATTTTGACTTGTGTTGGATTGGAGGATCCGCTTTGGTTTTGGGCAGCAACAATAAGGGATTGTTGTATATGCCTTATAAAAGTTGAGTCTCTTATTTTATGCCCTTGAGGATGGGTGACATAAAATATGTCTGTAAACCAACCACTATCAGATGAAATATATGACTTGGAGATTATGAGGTCCAAGTCGCTCAAAACTTGAATAATATTAAGCAAAATATCAAACTTATTTATGCCATCCACCTACATGCATCACAATAAAAAAAATTATATTTATTTCATAAAAAAAATAAAATGAAATGTGTGAAAAATAAATTAGAAATGAATCTAATATATAATATAATCGGAAAAAAAAAATACATGACGAGAGTATATTCAGCACATGTTTCGTTATCAATACATATCCTGCAATAAATAATTATTTCAATAAAAGTGATGATGAAATTTTTAATATGTTTAGAGAAAAATTATTTATTCGTTTGCGTTTTGGAGTATTTTCATTTCTTTCAAAAAAGTAGATGATTATGAATGACGAGATAGCAAAATCACATTCTTATTTTGAAAAAATAAATTAAAAAAAAAAAAGATAATAATAATAATAAAATTCTAACTACCCAAGGGGAGGGATATTTTGTGGAAGGGGGACAAACTGGGACTCGAAATTGGGGTATTCTTGAGCCATCGGTGTCTCTGTAAATCATAATTTAAACAAAATTTATATCAAATATTTTAAATAATGTGAAGGGTTGATTTCAAATAAAGGAAAAAAAGATCACTTTGTTGTATCTAAGAACAGTGGAAAAAGAAAACGGAGAAAGAGAAGTCCGGCTGGAACGACAGTGGAGAAAGAAGACGAGAAGGCGAAGTCCGACCGGAACGAGAAGCCCGGCGGGAACAACAGTGTAGAAAGAAGACAGAACAGAACGAGAAGTCCGGTGGGAACTGCAGCGGAGAAAGCTGTCGGAGAAGGAGAAGTTTGCTGGTGGGAATAGCAGTGGGGAAAGAAGACTGACGGCGGGAAATGAGAGAAGGAATTATGAGGGCGATGGATCAAAGGAGGAGGATTAATTCTGAATATGATATTTGTATTTTGAGGCTATTTATTAATGATTATAGCCAGAATTGATTGGACGAGAATTAGGGTAATGAGGACACGTAAGCTATTTCCATTCCTGATTGCTTGGTTTCAGTTGTGAGAAAGAACGAGTCCCCGTCCTCTGCTATGGCTTCTTCTATTTCCTTTCCTGATTCCATGGCTTCAGTTGTGAACAAGAATCAGTCCCCGCGCAAGCAGCATTGGGTTGTTATACCAAATATACTCTTTATGGGAGACTTCACAGTTATGTCCAAAGAACCTTAAGCTTTTCTTGATCAATATCAAATATACCGTAGACCCTTCATCTATTTCTCTTATATAATTCTCTAATATATTAATTGTTGATGTCAATTGCAGCGCATTAACTGTTGGTAACGAAGAAATGGTGGTTAAAAAGCTTAAAAATGATACAAAGATTAATAAATGATACATCTGAACACAAAGAGTATGATAGAAACATAATAAATATGTATCCATAAAAATATATATAAATAAAAGCTCTAGATTGCTTTGATTTTTGTATCCATGCTAGTTTCAAGGAAATAAAAAATACCTTCATCGTTAACCATAGATTACTTCATACCAGAGCATTCTCTTTAGTTTTAGAGGGTAAGGTTGTTTGTTTTACATGTTCTACTCTTTAACACTAATTATGGTACCTATTGACTAACCTATGGTATGTATGATCCTCTATTCTTGTGTCCAATTTGGCTAACCTATGGTTTGTGTAGGATCTACTAAGATTTATTTCTCGTTCTGTATGTTGATGGGTTTTATATTTTGGTTTGGAGTTTGATATTTACTCAACCCAAACCAGTTGGTTGGGTTTTGGTTCAAGTCATGTTGGTTCAAGCTTTGTTAGATTCAGGTTCAGTTAATGCTAGGTTCGGGTCAACCTAAGTCAAACCAAACCTAAGTATAATCCAAAATTATTTAATTTTACTAACTTAAAGTAACAAAATAATCTAAGTATAATAAATAAAAAATGAAGAGTAAGGGTCTATCGGAGATGAGGGCAAACTACCACAAGAGCGCCATAAAATAGAGATCACTGAAGGAGAGAGAACGTTTGAAAACGAGGGGAGAGGCAGAGGAAGAGGGCGCTGGGAACCATCTGAATTAAGGGAGAAGCAAAGACCTATTTATAAGCGATTAGGAGTGACATAAGCAGTGGTGGGAGCGATTGCTTCCCATGAATCGACCCCAGACAATCGTCGATTGAGGCAAAGATCAATAGTCGTAATTTCCTCGGCAGTTGAAGCTCCCACAAATCACCAACAACAAAACGATGCGTCGATTCAATATCAAATTCAAGGCAGGGAGCCACGGATCGTTGGCGTGGCCAAGCCAGCATTAAGCATCACCACACGCCCG